GGCGGCGGGCGAGCACCGCGCGCTCGTGCTCACGGGCTTCGGCGGCTACGAGAAGGTGAAGGTGCAGGCGCGGCGCGGCGGCGGCCCGCGGCCCGGCGAGCTCTCCGTGCGCGTCCGCGCCTGCGGCCTCAACTTCGCCGACCTGCTGGCGCGGCAGGGCCTCTACGAGCGGCAGCCGCCGCCGCCCTATTGCCCCGGCATGGAGTGCGCCGGCACCGTGAGCGCGCTGGGCGACGGCGTCCGCGACCGGCAGGTCAGGGCCCGCGGGGAGGGGGACGGCCCGGGACCCCCCCCGCGGCTGCCGGGGTCCGGGTGTGGGTGGCGGAGCCGCCCCCGGGGGGGTCCCGTGTTGGGCCGGGCGGCGGCACCCCGGGGGGGAACGGGGCTACCGGGGGCTCCCGGGGCCGCCGTGYGAGCCGCCCGCGGCTCCCTTGCAGGTCGGCGACAGGGTGATGGTGCTGGCGCGCTCGGGGCTCTGGCAGGAGGTGGTGAACGTGCCGGCCGCGCAGGCCTGGCCCATCCCCGACGGCATGAGCTTCGAGGAGGCGGCCGCCTTCCCCGTCAACTACATCACCGCCTACATGATCCTCTTCGACTTCGGGAACCTGCGGCCCAACCAGAGCGTCCTCGTCCACATGGCCGCAGGTGAGCGGGCGCTGCCGGCGCGGCCCTCGCCTCCCTACGGGCTGGCCTGACCAAGCAYCGTCTGCCGGCGTCACATTGACCCAGGGAAATCCTCCGGAACCCCCCTTGTCCCATTGCTGGGCTGGTTCTGCCGCCCCCGAGGTGCTGGGGCCAGCCCAGTTTCACCTGCATTAATCCCCTGCTAGTTTTGGTCTGCCTCATCCCCGCTAGAATCATGGGAATGGTACAAGCAGGGATAACTTGCACGTCCAAAGGCTTTCCGGGTGCTCTCATTCCCCGTTTGCTTCTAGGTCTTTCTCTCTGCTTATTCCCAGGTGGTGTGGGCACTGCTGCCGTGCAGCTGTGCAAGACAGTAGAAAATGTCACTGTTTTCGGCACAGCATCAGCCTCCAAGCACGATGYGCTCAAAGAGAGCGGTGTTGCCCACCCCATTGACTACAGAACGATGGATTATGCAGAAGAGGTCCGGAAAGTCTCTCCCAAAGGTACTTTTGCCTGGGTGATTTTACAAATGTCTTGCGTTTCTTTGGAACGCAGAGAAACTTCTAGTTGTTTTCAATTCCCTGTAGGCGTTGACATTGTCATGGACCCCCTGGGAGGATCCGACACATCCAAAGCATTTCACCTCTTGAAGCCGATGGGCAAACTCATAACTTACGGTGAGTGTGAGAGCTGYCTGCTGGGCAGCGGGTCCCACGTCTGGGCCCCGTACGAGGGACCATGTGATAGCAGGGTGGGTGCGATCTGCATTGCTCAGGGCTTGGTCACCAGGCTGTGCGGGATATCACAGTCRCTGCTATCACAGGCAGAGTTCAGCTGTTTCCCTGGGGTTTTTAAGATGCCCTGTTTGGGTGGGGCTTTGCAGGGAGCGAGTCTTGTGGCTTGTCCGGAGAGCTCTGGCCGTGGACTGCAGTGCTCAGCCCTGCGGCGAGCGCATTGCTCGCCCAGCGTCRGTGAGCGCCGGCAGGGGAAGCTGGAATGTCCTCGTGGAGGAGCGCTGGCACAGCTGCTTTGTCTGCGCTGGCTTGATGTACAGCACTAATAGAAACTGTTTTCTTATTACGGGATGCGTGGGTGCTGAGGTTAGAAGCTACTGAATACTTATCTCTCCATTCCCYAGCCCTGAAACACTGTGATTTTTGTCTCGGTAGACAAAGCACTCACACAGCCCCCAGTGGGATTCCAGACGCTTGCATCAGAGCTGCCTCTGTTGTTCTCCTGGTTAACGGTTGGGGCGTGCGGGGCTGCTTCCCGGGAGCTTGGCTGCRGCAGGAGGGAGGTCTGCCCTGCCGTGGCTGGAGGTGCTGGGCAGCTCCGGTCTGCTGTGCTGCTGCCACCCTGCTCAGGGTCGAGTTGTTCTTTATTTTAGCAGCGCCTGGCTGCAGATGCTGCATGCGTTGAGGCCAGGGCCGGTCAGCGCTTTCCCTGTGGGTTGTTTGGGCAGATTCCAGTTTCCCCAGCAGCTCCTGCCCTGGGTGGTGTCTGGCCTGTGTAATGCATGGCGTGTCTGCTGCCTTTCCTTTTGTGTTGACCGCAGCTCATCTGCGGCTTGTCTTCTAGGAGTAGCAAACCTGATCACTGGGCAGAAGAAGAACCTCATGGCTATGGCTAAAACCTGGTGGAACCAGTTCAGCATCAATGCTTTGCAGCTCCTGCACCATAACAAGGCTGTGTGTGGCTACAATCTTGGAAACATGGATGAAGAGTACGAGCTTCTTGGGGGTGTTATAACCAAGCTGATGAACCTCTACAACCAAGGCAAAATCAAGCCCAAGATAGACTCTGTATGGCCCTTTGAACAGGTGAGTGTGAGCTAACGTACAGGCTGCCAACATCCAGAAAGCGCTGCGTTCTCTGCAGGGTACATTTTGGCTCAAGGCAAGCCCCGCATTCACAGGGGCTGAAGTGCTGCAAGCTCTTGACAACCAGCTGTTCTCAGCTCTTAAGTGCCCTTCTCCCTTTTAATACTCTAAGGGGAAGGAAAGTGGCCAGGGTCTTCTGCTCCAGTGCACGGAGCTGGGCCGTGCCAGGCAGCGTCGCCGTGGAACAGAGCAGGTGTTGGGCTGTGTTCTCTGGCGGCAGCAGCAGCCTGTGAAGCAATAGGGTTATGCCCTGAGTCTGCGTGCTGTCATTGTGCAGACAGCCAGGACTCCTGCTGCCCTTGCACGGATGGGAGGGAACCCAGGCAATGAAGCAGAATGGGGCTGTGGAAGGGGAAGCTGCAGTTTTCCAGCAGCTCCCGTGTGCTCAGTGCTGTTGCGTTGCAGAGTCAGTTGCTTCCCTTCAAATCTTTGGCTGGGGTGGGAGCTATTGCAGGGGAGCAAAGGACTTAATAAGGATTCACTGGTGCTACTGATCTGCAACCTAGTCMGAGGCAGATATTTAAGGATAACTGTGCTGATTAGAAGCCTGGCCCAGGTGCTGTTTTGCTTAAAAATCTGTAAATGTTTTGCCCTAGAATTGTGTAGATGGCAGGAGTGKTGTTGTTCCGGCTGTTGGCTGCTTCCCTCTGTGTGTCACTAGAGCTTCCTCTCCCCAGCTCTGCTGCCTTCCCCAGCTCGCCCAGTGGGGCCTCCTTTCTGTGATGTGTGTGAGGATTTTCCTGTCAGCAGTGTYGGTAGCTGCCCAGCTCTGACCAAAACACATCTGTGCAGATGTGCTCAGGGGTCTACCACTTGCCTGGGCTCCTGGGAAAGCCACCCTGTGGATCCCCACACCAGTGGGTGAGGATCTGGGGAGTCCAGGAGGGACCTGACGTGTGCTGCATGGGGGATGTGGGTCTCATGGGACTCCTGTTGTTCCTAGGTGGCAGATGCCATGAGGCAGATGCAGGAGAAGAAGAAYGTTGGGAAGGTCATCCTAGTTCCTGAAGTACCAAAGGAAGAATCCAAGAAAGAAGAGAACTAACAAGGCGAGAGTTGCGTGCAGAGTGTGGATTCATGGTTTAACTCTCTGATCTCTTTGGGACCTGGAAATGGACAGATCAGTAGCTTTCATCTTCATCAATACAGGAGCATCTTGGTTAAAGTTCAAATGAGGTTTGCATGCTCTTGTCRTGACTGGCCCTTTGCCAAATATGCCTCTTGCCCTAGCTTTGTTCTGCAGCCTGTTTATTTCACACACTTTTCTAATCACTTGTTTCTCTACTGAAATTCCAGGCTAATCTTATTTTTCTCTGGCAGTGCAACAGAAGCTTCCAGGCAGCTAGTAATTAGCAGCTGCCTAGCCTATCACTGTAAAATGAAAGTGTAAAATATTATAGCAGCTGCTGAGAATCTCAGCAGAAATTGAGCCCCCATAGTAGCACTCACCATCACCTTTGAGAAATGTTTTCAGAAAAAAAAATACTGGACCAAACTGTGGAAGCTTCTTAAGTAGCCAGAGGAAAAATATGCCTGGCCTAGTCTTATTCTAGAACTGGCTGCTCTGCAACTTACACTTATGTTCTTTCCCCCTCTGCTTTCATAGGCTTCTAATACCAGCGTGGTAGTAACAGGTCATTTTGTCCTTGCTTTGTAAGTACTCAGTTTGACATTTTGGAGTCTAGCATATTGCACTCTTAATTTGCAGTCATTCCCATGTGCAGTCAGCAAATGACCCAAGGGGCTGGTCTGGTATATGTCTAAATACTGAAATTTCAGTTAGGTACCATGATCTTGTCCGTTTTCTGATCCCAAACTGTAAAGTGAGGCCAAACTGTGTCTGATTTTAGAGACCATAAGGACTCAGCTGTCTCAGAAGTGACTGGAACAATTGATGTTGACTCTGTGCTTTCTTAATGTTGGGCTCCAAGTTGATATCGTTAAGGCTAAACTTCACCCTCGTGTTTGTATTTCCAAAGGCTCCAGTCTGGAATCGGATGTCAGCAAGATGTGGATGAGCATCTGTTAATGCTTTCTTTGTGCCATACCCTGGGCGCTGGGGAGAAGATGATGTGGTTTGGGAGGTAACTGGCAAGAACCAATCCTGTAAACCTGCTTCACCAGGAACCCTGGGCTAGCTTGGGGTTCCCTGACAGTTGTTTCGTGAAGCTTTCCCTGAGTTACAGGTACAGATGGCAATCTGTCCAGCTCTGTGTCAAGTCTCTTGGCGTGGGCATCTTGAGCAGTTTCACTTGTGCTTTCTGTGCTCTTCTGGCTATCTCCAGATAGTCCCTCAAGCCAGCTCTCGTGCTGGGCTTTGGTGCTGCGGTAGGGCTTGCTTCTTCTCCCTGGACCTGCCAGTTTTGGGACTTGGGCTCTCTAAGCACCAAGGCTTTGGGAAACAGCTGGGTACTCCTCCCAGACTAGAACTCCATTTCTCCTTTTCTTCCATGCACTTGAAAATGGAACTGTGCAGAGGCCCAAACCGAATTCTATGAGCACTTAATGTTCTAGGTAGTGCCCTCCGTCCTTCTGTGCTGTTTTCAACCCTGGATTGACTGTGTTGCTCTTTGTGTTTGCTTTAGCAGTTGGAGACTTTGTCATGAATTGTAGCAGCTGCAGCGTTTTAGGCTTGCTTTTGGATTCAAAAAGGTAAATGTGAGAGAGAGCTGCCCATCATGGAAGAATTCGGGCTCCAGGAGAAAACATTTGCTGCTAGGAGGCTTGTTCAAACTGGAGGGAGGAAGGAGCCTGCTTGGCTAAAGTATGTGAGCACGGTGCAACATTGCCGTGAGGGTTTTCCTGTGTGTGTAGCAAGAGAATGTGGCTGCTTCCTCTGTCAGCTGTATCTTCCACAGGAGAAATAAAACAGTGCTCCTCCCATCTGGCAGTGCAGCTGGTTGTATTTCAGGTGCTGAGATTCAATCCCTAGTTTTGATACCTAGTTAGAAATGCTTAGACATAGAATCCAGGGGACGTGTTATAGTTAACTTTTAAATATTAAATCAGCCCCATCACCTAGAAGGGCTGGTGCCCAGTCACAGGTATGTATGCATCTTTGCGTTCCTTGCCCTTGATATGAACTTCATAAACACAAGTGAATGAAATTCTCAGCACAACTCTTAACCTTTTCTGAATCCAAAGTCTCGCTGCTTCTGCTCTTTAACCTGCCTCTGTCCTGCTAATTTAGATGAAATCAAATGGTGTCTAATGTTGTGTTTACCATGTCTGACAACAGAATGACTTTCTAAATTCATGAGATGGACAATCTGGACCTGTTCCTCTGAAACCTGACTTCACCTTGATGAAAGCACAGCGTGCCCAAATGGCACACAGCACTGCAAAGGGGGAGCTATCCAGTTGTGTTTTACAGTAACATCTTTTTCTGATTTACTGTCAGCTAAGTGCATGCCCAGTGCCTTACTAGGATGGCCTTAAATTAGGCAACGTAGCAAGGCTTTCCAGTCTAGTCCATCTTGATGCGGTGTGAAGAAAACGGGAATCTTGAAACTCCTTGTAGGACACCTTTGACACATGCTGCCTTGTGATACCCCACAGAAAGAGTATCTCAGTGCCTTCTCTGCATGCTTGTAAGGACTAGGAAGTCACCAGAGCCTTTCCCATTCAGGCCTTTCAAAGTACTGCCAAAAACCTTTTGTGATTCTTGCTATCTCTGTTTTGTGAACACTGGTGATACAGTTTGACTCGCCTTGAATGTGACACCCTCTTTTCATGTGCTGCAGACTTTCCAGGGCTGCCCTGGCTGTTCTGTGCTCCTGAATCCATAGAAGTTGTGTGGTGAAGTGGTATTATGTCCCTCTCATGAAGACTTTGTCCCAAGTCTGCCCTCGAGACAGCCTGCTGCCTGTGCACAGTCAGGGCTCCCAGCTCTCCCAGCGTAGTTGCCAGCTTATTTTCTGTCCACAATTTTTTGAAGCCCTTTTAAGGGTATGAGTTATGAGAAATTACTATGGTCGTCAGTTCCTGAATTTGACTGTGTTGTGTCCTTCAGTAGTAACAGTGTTTTCTACAGAATGATTTAAGATTAAAACCTTGTTCTTCACTGCCTCGCTAATTAATGCTCTGTTTTTTTGTCTTATAATTGTCTGTCTTTTTATAGGCAACCATTTCTATGGGCCAATAAGTATGAAACCTCTGTCAAACAACTTTAAGTGTCTTAACTCACTGAAGTTAACCAGCAGGTTGTATACCAAGGACCAAAGCAAAAAACAACCCACCTCAGATTAAAAAAGAAAAATCATTCAATTCGAGATATTGCTTAACTCCTGTGCTGATGTCACGCATGCCACTCCATATACCATAAGTGCAGTTTAATGTTTATTTTTTACTGCTTGTCTGACCCACAGGCTGTGCCAGGAGGAGAGGAGGCCAAGGGTAAAGCATGAGTAAGGAGGTCCTGAGCACAGAAGCAAAGGCTTCTTTTGCCCTGCCCCCTGTCCCGTGCGCTGCCATGTAGGTGCTGCATTTGGTGTTATCTACTTACGCTACTGGCACAGGGGTTACTGTTCAAATACCCTTCCAGCGTCGTTACTGTAGTCACAGTTTTGGACTGACAGTTTTGGCAGTGCTGGTCTTGGGCAAAGTGAAACTCTCTTGCTCTCACCAGGCAGCTTTAGTCAAGTTTTTGACTCTAATTCCTCTCGTTTGTGTTGCATGCTAACTGTAGAAGAGAAAGGGAAGCAGCCTCAGCTTGCRCAGAGGAGCACAACCCTACTGCCATTGGTAGCATTAGCCAAGACTGAAGTTTAGGAGTTTCGCTGTACATTTCACTTCAGAACACCTGCGTTCTATGAGAATTGAGTGACCAGTGACAAGTAAGCACTGGTGTGGGCACCAGGCTTTAAGCAGTGCAGGAATCTGGCCCGCGTACAGCTGCTACCATGGGTGTGAAACCACTGTCGTTGCCAAATGAAGTCTCTGATGTCCTAAGCCCTGGTGGTGGCAAAGTGTGACTGGCAAGTAGCATGGGAGTGTGATGTGAAATGCATTCGACTCGGCCTTCTACAACATATGGTACCTGTGCCATCTGAGTCGAGCTGATTTGCAGATCTGTGRTGTGAGTGACGCTCATCCTTTTCCACTTGGAAAACCTTTGTTTAAACAATATTATTCCGCTTTGTGCGTGTAACCAAGTTGGACAGGAAGCAAGTGTGCCAATGCTGTTTACATGACTATAAAGTGTAATGCTCCTCTGTCTGATGTTACCATATGCCTTATGTGTTTCAAATGTTAATTAAAAGCATAACAAAACCTTCAGTGGCACACTGCTCGGTCTCCTGCTAGAGGAAAATCCACTGTCCCCAACTTGGCCTCTACGGACCTTCTACAGCTTCTGGGGGCAGGTGTTCAGCTTRTCGATTTTAACAGCTTTACTGCAGTGAGATGACTCCTCTGCTYTCAAGGACAAACGTTACCTGTGGCCGTGAGTGTTGCATCCATCTTGTAACACRCGCTTCTGGAGGGCAGCTCTAGCCATTCTTGTTTGCAAAGCCCATTGCTGCCCTCTGCACTTTAATCTGTGTCTGGGTGATTCTGTMGCCAGGCTAGATTRAGACAGGTTCCTTGGATGGCTGTAAGACAAGGGATGAGCAAACACTACCAAAAATGGGGAAATAAAACTTGTTTATTTGCATTTCTTCTGGGCGAGACAGTCCATGGCCATATATTCTTGGGGGAGGCAGCTGTCCTAGAGGCTGAAACCTGTTAATGTTCCCTCCAAGAGAACATAAGGTTTCCTGCTGTTCCCAGAGCAGGTGCTGGGGGTGGGTGTAGCCTGGGGCTGTCTACTTGAGGAATGAAATGTCTAARTTAGCAGCTGAAATTAATGACAGTTCAGCTTTGTCACCASCTCTCAGGTGGCTGGTCTGGAACAGCCTCTAGGAGAGAGAGGGAGAAGAAGAGGAGGCCGAGCTGCAAGGAGGCTCCTGSCTGCATCGGAGTGACCGGCTGCCTGTTGAAAGGCRYCCGAGGCTCAGCCTGGAGCTGATGCTGCAACCAGCTCSTGCTTAACTGGTTGGTGAAGACCTGCATCCCGTAGGAGCTGGAGTTTCAGCGTAGCTCCGATTCCAGGTGGGTCTTGGAGGGTCTGGGGGAGCTGCTGTCACCTGTGCACAGCTTTTCGGCCACCTCCGGGGACACAAGGCACTCTGGAAAAGAAGCTGAGCTGTCAGCTTTGAGCTGCAGTGACGGCAGCTGGGAAGGAAGTGGATGTGGCTGCTCAAGCAGGAAATTTTATGCAATGCCCAGTTTCTTCAAGACTGTGCAARCCTCGTGGAGATACTGAGCATCTGGATAGCCATTCCTGTGGGGACAGAGAGGAAAGTGGTGTAAATGCTGTAAAACCACTGYGGGGGGGACACGACAGTTCACTTCTGCCCTGTCCTTGTACGAACGGCAGCCCCGTTCCCTGCAGCTACGGGCAGCAGCCGGTTGCTGCTGTTTGCATGGCCACAGGAGCACGGGGGAAGGCAGGAAAAGGAGCTGGAGTCGAGCAGGGTCTGCAATTGCTGCTCCCTGCGGGCCCGAGGAGCGTGGCATAGGGGAGGGCTTTGGCTTCAGCTGGAGTGCTGTTCTGCCACGCTGTGGCCGCCCTGCGCAAGGAGGCAAAGGTGAGCACCAGCCCTGCCCTCGGGGGAGCCTGSGAGAGCCCCAGCTCCCAGGATTTGCCAGGCTGAGGTGCATGTTATTCCCGAGGAATACCTGAAGGCTTTGATTTAGCCGACCCATACCTGGCCTTGCCTCCATCCAGTGAGGTTTTGTGTGGGATATGGCCCCATGTCACTCTTCCCTCTCCATTGAGAGACTTGATCTGGAATGTCAGCCGCTGCTCCAATGCTTTCTTGAGCAGCACTGCTGTCTTCTGCCCATTCCYGTTGTCGGGCAGGGAAAGCTCCCCCTTTGTAAGGGTGTCCTGGGCAGGGTCRGAGGCTCTCCATGTTCTCGTGCACATGGAGGCTGCGTGAAGGCCCTTGGGGCCCTCCTGTGACACTGCACATGGAGGCCACGGGAAGCCTCATATTGCCACCCGGCCTTGTGAGCTCGGAGACCCCGAGGGCACCCCTGGGCCTGTGCACATGGAGGCCATGAGAGGCCACACGAAGGGACGTGTGGCCCCCTGCACACAGAGGGCTGCATGAAGGCCCGTGGGGCGCCCCGTCCCATTGCACACAGAGGGCCCGGGGGACAAAAGACCCCTAGGAACTCCCCGCTCTATGGGCCTACGTGCCCCATGGGGCAACTCCTGGGTTCCATAGGGGCCTGCACGGGTCCTATAGGCCCCACATGGGCACCCTATAGGCCCCAGGTGGACACCCATGGGTTACATAGGGGCCTGCGCAGGTCCTGTAGGCCCCACATGGGCACCCTATAGGCCCCAACGTGGACATCCATGGGTTCCATATAGGCCTGTGCAGGCCCTGTAGGCCCCTCATGGACACCCATGGGTTCCATATGGGCCTGCACAGTCCCTATAGGCCCAAGGTGGACACCTGTAGGTTCCATATAGGCCTGCGCCGGCCCTATAGGCCCCACGTGCACACCTGGGGGCTGCATACGGGCCTGGGCGAGTCCTATGGGTGCTGAATTCCCACCCCATGGACTCTGTGCAGGCCCACGTGGGCCCTATGGGTCCCCAAGCATCCCTCCGCAGGCTCCACGTGGGCCCAGGTGGGCTCTGCAGGCCTCACACGGCCCTCCACGGCCTCCATATGGGGAAAAGTCTCTTTTTGGGGAGGTTTTAGGCCCCGTTCAAGGGGAGCTGTGCTCCCTTGTGCAGCGTGGGGCGAACTGTGCTAACCCCCTCCTGATGCCAGAGTTCCTCAAATTAGTCTTTTTTCAGCGTCAGACTAAACTCTTTATTGCTTGCATTAGCAAAATGGACAGTATGCACAGAACAGAGTGAACGTGAAACAACTTCCTCCTCAATGTGGCTGTGGGTAGGATCAAGAGGCGGMTTCTCTGGAAGGGCCTGGAGTTAGCGACTCCTGTGGAAGCAAGTGTGAGAGAGAAAACATGTAAATCCCTATAAAACTGCTCTAAGCCGTTTTAATTTGGTTTCTACAGAAAAAGTCATTTCACCCTCTCCACTGGGGCAAGAGGCTTTTCTAATCTACCTTCTCTAGATGGTCATTATTTGAAAACTGTTTTYGCCCATTTTGACCTAAAGATGGCAAGAACATGCCTTTGCAGAGCCAAACTCTGGCCAGAGCTCTTAGCTTTTTAGACAAAGGCAGATAAAATCTGCACCATACCACCTGGTTCTTTATGGAAGTCCTAAACCTGAATTCTAAATTTTGTGGAGCAATGCGGCAAGCATTTTTGCAGCATGGCTTTTGTACCGTAATGGGAAGGGACTTGCAGGAGGCTTTTAAGAACAGGGATCAGTAGAACAGCCACTCACGTTGGTCTGCAGAGATCGGCCGAAATGAGCCACGTCAGGAACTCCTGGTTCAAAACATCCTTCAAATCTAATTCTTCTGGAGAAGTAAAACTGCAAGAAATGTCCAAGGACATAAATGCACAGCAGAGAAAGCAATCCAAATACTGAATATAACAGCCACTTTTTCCGATACTCCCAAATTCACGGAAGCATTTTATTTTCTTCCTGTTATATCTTTGACTTGATGCATTGCTCACCAGCCTGCATGTCCTGGTAACTTTTTCCCTTTTATCTTTTTTTTTTTTTTTTGCTCCTTGCTACCAGTTGGTTCTGTCTTTTC